GCGTCGACCATTTCTGGCCAGCAACTTTCAGCATCATTAAGCCGCTGCGCAAGTCCCTATGTTGACTTAGATAATTATAATTCCAGAGAAGAAACTGCAATATATGGAACAATATATAGCATGGCAATTTTATTGCAAGAAAATATGTTCTTCTCCCATATAGGTTTTTCTCCTTAGTTGTTATCAGGCTCTTGTCACAACAGTCAAATAGTTATAAATATGTAAAAGTTATGTGTTTTTCCTTTTTTCTCCCCATTGCTTTTTTTCTTCTGTGCCATGTCATTTTGAGATTGTAAACTTAGGAGAAAGGATGATTTTTTAAATTATTATTCTGCATGTTATTGTAAGAGCCATTTAGTTGCAGAGAGGCTAATACACAAGAAATAAATAATAAATAGGTTTTTAGTAGCCTGTTATTTTCTGCATCCCAGGTTTTGCAATGAATGGTTGAGTAGCAGTGTGGCAACAGGGCTGTAGGGTGAAAGAATGGTGGTCTCAAACCTCTTCTGGAAACTTTCTAATTCTATGCTTCCTGTTCTGCCCTTGGTGCAGCTTGATCATTACTGTTGGCCCCACTTATTTTCTGGGATTTGTATGTGTTCCTTTACCTGTCTTCCTCCCAATATTTAAGAGTTTGGATCTCCACAGCCTATGACAAATACAAAGGAAAAAAAATGATAAAAACAAAATGAATTCCATAGTACCACCTATTACGTCTGTATCATGACGCGTGTGATTAGGGAAATCAGTCCCCCTTCCTTTGTGCAAAGAAGCTCTCATAGGAGATAATAATATTAGATTTTATTTAAAAAAGGAAAAAGAGAAGGTACATGTAAAATATTCAGTAACAAAGGAGATATAAAATACAGGCTGCTTAAAACACAGAAAAGCAATGTAAAAAGGATTTCCAAAAGATGAAGATAAGAAATATGTAAAGTCCTGGGTAGATCACAAGTTATATTGATCTGTTTTTGCATATAGGAAACTCTGTTTAAAGAGAGTTGCACAAAATAGACACATACTGAGCTTACATAGATAAAATGAACATCAGAAACAATAAGTTAATAAATGCTAAATTTTAGCATGTACACAAAGTGATCAAACATCTAATCTGAGATTCCAGCTAAATTTTTACATATACCTTAGAGACAAAGGATCACTGTAGCCAACAATTCCTGCTTTCTTTCATGGCATCCACATGGCAAGCAAATGATGAAATGTGTATCATGAAGTCATGATACATATTTTGTCAGTTTGAGAAAATCTCAGCTTTCTGCAAATGTCCCTGCTTGTTTCTTCTGGATTTTCCCAGATTCTTGTAGATTATAACCTTAAAGCAAAGGTTTAGTAGAAAAAAGTTCCTTCTCTCCTTTATTATAGCCTTCATATCTAAATCCCGGCTTACATTTAAATATTTTTTTTTTCTCTCTAGCAGAAATGGACGAGGTTGGGTAATCTTCCTGCATATGTATTCCTAACCTTGTCTCAGTCTACAGAAGGTACATATTCAGTATGTCTAAGCTGGCAACTTGATGTCTTACCTGAGGAATGGCAAGCAGATTACAGACAATATGGGTGGTAGCACTACAAACAGTTAAATATAGTAAGCAAATTATGGAAGTTTTAAGACTTCCCAGGTTTGGACTCACTTATTATACTTTAGCAATCTAAAATGGCATTTTGATTCTAGCTAATATTTTGCATGTGGTTGCATTGCCTGTTTCACACAGGACTGAAAAGTCCATGCATTAATCTGATCTAATGTAATATAATCTAATTCATAGTTAATAATACAAGGCAATAATATGGTTTGTTCTGTCTAATAAAACTGATTCTGTCCTTCGGTAGGATTTATGAATGGGAGAGAATGGCTTTCAATTACATTTCTCCCAGCACAGCATAGTCACTGTGTCCTACCCATGTAGCTGCAGGAATCCAACTTGGCAATGCTACAAGAAACCCAGTTGGAGCATACTTGTTTTGCTGGTAAAAGGTTAGCTACACCAGTTAAAGGGATCAGCTGTTACCAGAGAACAGAATATTGCATTAGAGAAGAAAAAAAAGACAGACGCATCTTTTATTACACAATCCCCCTCACTCATTGATGAGTATTAAATAGGATCCAGATTATGCTGTCTAGGTATTTCCAAATACTGGCATATCCAATATTACCAGATACTATCCAAGGGATAGTTTTCAGAACCTAAGGGTGAAGCATTCAGATCTGTCAGCCTTCCTCCCTGCCAGGGCAACTTTGGAAAAGAGATTTAGCTAAATAAAAGAAATGGTGGAAAGTTTTCCAATGCTCAGATTCTTCTAAATATTGTCAGAGAACTCTTGGAAACACCACGAGCTTCCTTTAGAAATAATCCAAAAAAGCCTGGTATACAAAGCAAATAGATCCAACAATTAATCCATCTTAGTTCCAGGAGGTATAATTCAAGGACAGGATTTTTAATGATTAAACTGTACGTCTTAATGCATGCCTAAAAATGTAGCAATCATACTTGGATACGTATACAGTCAAAAATTTGGAAAATAAGCACTTTAAGGTTTTCAGACTGAGAATGTTAGATGTTTTAGCTTCTAATAACAAAACATAAACTAAATTGTAAAAGTGATTTTTCTCTCATATTAGAAGAAAAATATTTTATTTGTTATAAAGTTTATTAGAAGCTAAGGTTATTAATGATTAATTATATAAGAATATATATAATGACCACAAATGTTTTCCATCTCAGACATTATGGTACATACTAGTTATGTCTAACTTGGCATAACAAAATGATACATGATCTGGCATCTAGGATTACCCTGTGCCTGCAAACTACTGAAAACAACTTCTTCTTTGTACTAGCAATGACACTTGGACCCACTACTGAGCCAGGAACCCTTATGATCTTCCAGAGCAAGATGCCTTGTCTACTAACTGAAATATAAATAGACTGTTTTTCTATGAATACAACCTTTCTCTTCCTATTACATCAGAGTGTTTTTCTCCTTAGACTGAACCCTGAAAGTTCACAAAACAGAATTGATGCATCTTACTTTAAATGCAGCAGTAGATCCTTATCATTTTTATCTCCACAAGTATTTGTTTCTTATTATTGAAGCTCTGTACATCTGCCTCCAAATACATCATGTCCCACAAAACATAAGTAATACTGTAGTTATTGAACACTGTTTCTGCCTCTCTGGGTTCCATATCACAGTGGTAATCCAGGACCATTCCCTTCAATTGCTGAGCATGCAATTGGTTGCCAGAACAACAGCTGCAAGTGGACAAGTAATTCTTTCACACTAGCATTAAGCATCAGTAATCAATGAGTTTCAGCTGGATGGCATTTTCCACTGCATTGCACAGTAATTTAAATGGCTCACCAAAGCCTGTTTCTAGTTTTTTAATAACAATTCACTAAAATGAATTGTAATCTAAGCAAAGAAAAATTATGTTTTGTTTCATGTTTAAAACATTAGAAATTTCACTTACTGCATGCCAAGTAGATCCAGCAGTGAGCTCAGATTTCTCCAACAACAGTACATCCTTCATGCCAGCCTTGGCCAAGTGATAGGCAAGACTGACACCAACACAACCACCTCCAATAATTACAGTTTCTGCTGTGTCTTTCCATTTCGCTTCTACAGAAGATGGCTTTTGTTCCCTAGGGAAAAAATGAACAAATATGATGACTGATGCTTCTCATTCCTGCATATTTTACATAAAATTACATAAAACATAATATCAACTGTTCTTCACATACTGTGTCAACAATTAAATTGAAGGATATTAATAGAATTTCAAGCTACACAAATGAAAACTATGAGCCATAAGCCCAAACCAGCAGAGTTTTAGATCAGGTGTTGTCACTCATTGTCTTGTTAGTGACATCAAATGATTGGTTGTTGGTATCATCACAGATGTAAATGCAGGTTTATCCCTAGCCTTTGCCACAGCCATTTCTATTCCCAGTGTTTCCTGGCCTCCATATATACCCATCATCTTTCCCATTCTCTGTTTTTGACTCAGGTGTATCTCCAGGCTTCCAACAAAGTAGAACTCCTATTATATTTAGGAAAGAAGCAGAGTTGCATTGTGTCTATTCCATTTTAACAGTATAGTGAAGCCTCAGTTCACTAGAGTTCAATGCAGCAGACCCAATTTCTGCTATGTGTCATTTGGGTAATGCCAACTCTTCCATTCAACTGACATTCCTGAATAACAGACATCTCCCCTATTAAACCTTTAAAATAGTGTTTCACTGTATTCTAAAATCACCAACTGATTTTGAACTATTCTGCTTTAACATTATTTTGAAATGTATCTTTACCTTTAGATATTAACAAACCCCTTTTCCCCATTGCAATCTCCAGAAATAGTGAGGGAAAGTAAACTGCTTAGTTACTAGCTTCCTTATGTTTGTCACTTTTAATTACTTCCCACTTCCTGGGAAGTAGCAGACTTGGTTGTCCAACAGTCAGTCAAATTCAGTATAACAAAACAGTTATCTCAGTACAGGGTCTAACAATTTGCACAATCATAACAGGTTCTTCTTCTTAAGGATTATTTCTACTGAAGTGTGTGTGTGTGTGTGTGTCTATCTTTATTTATTTATTTTTCCTGGCATGGGAGGAGAGCCAGACAAATCAGCATAAATTAGATAGAGTCCTTAAGTCAACCCTCCTCCTTTGCTGTAGTGCCCTGATTAGTAGATGTTTTCTCTGATGGCTGGTTATGTGCTGAAAAGGGAGGTGTGATGGAATGTTGGTTTGACTCAGAGAAGGGAGAGAATACCAACAAAAAAGATATTTGTGTCCTGGGAAAGTAGGAAGCATAAGAAAGAAACTAAAAACAATTCTGCCTTGATTGTGTTAGATATAAGTTGAACATATAAGTTGAAAATTCAGAATAGGCTTTCAAGATTCTGTTATAATACCTTAACTGCACAAATACATTCCAAGATTCCTAGCAAGTCCTGTTTCCTGGCCTACCCCAAACAGCTGCCAGGAGGGTAGCAAAGGTAGTGGAGAAATTGTCTCCTCTCTCACCTTGCCCGTAACAATTGGTACACTTGCAAAGCAGAACAATAACATCTGCAGTGACTCAGAACAAATGCAACAGAGACAAGATAGAGACTGGCAATGGGAACACTTTTTTTTGCTAGCATTCTTTTGTGGAGGTTCAAAAATGGGTAGATAACATCTCACAACCTGAGAACTCCACTACTAAGTCAATGTGCATGGGTTTAATGACATTTGAACATCTTTTACTGTGCCAACATCTCTCAGTGTCTAATGATAATATGCCAAAGACACTTCCAAGGCATACTTCTTCAATGGATTTTCTGTAGTAAGAACAAAAATGGAAGAACAAGTAGAAAAACATGAAAAAGTTACAAATGATAGACTATATAATCCCTCTATCGTATAAAAAAATCTGCATAAGGCAAATCACGCACATGAAGCAAAACCTAATCTGGAGGCATCCCAAATGGGAGCTACCCTGGATGGCTCATTCATTTTCTGTTGAATTCTAAACATAAATTATGGATGAGAGAGGAAGGAGAAACATCTAATTTTCACCAACCTACCCAAATAATGGTTGGTTTATCCAAAAGGCCAATTAATGTATTCTAAAATGCTACAAAGAGTAACTTATAAACAGACACATGAACTGTGTTCATTTCTTATTAAATGCGCCAGAATTACAGGTTTATGAACAGGTTCCATAACATTCAGCCAGTCAGTTAAAGTCTAATGCTTGCATTTGCACAATATGCTAAGCTTAATAAGTTTTTACTTTGCTTCTGTTTATGATTTACCCTGTTAGGCAACAACAGCCTGTCTGGTTAACTTATCATTTAATGCATTGTGCAATTCAAGAAAATAGGTTACAGTAATTCCGTAACCAAGTTAAGTGTGCTGTGCAAGCACAGCAGTAAAATTCAAGGATATTTCCAAATAAATATTTTATTGTGCAATCATTTTGTCATTTTACTGAATATCCAGGTTTCATCATACTGAATTCATTGACCTGTATTTTCCGCTTCTTCATTTTTTTTCTACAATAAATAACAAAAATCCTTTGAAAAATAAAAGGTGAAATAGCTGCTCTGTGCCTTTGACTGCCAGCATTAGACACAGTTCTTTTGGAGGGATCCATACATGCATGCATTAGGAATGAAATATACACAGGCCTAAATATTATGGGGTGGGCAATCCTGTCATTAGATCAAGGAGAGCTTAGTTTAACTGTGCTTAGCCACAAAGCCTCTTGAGTGGCTTCGAGCTACGCACTATTCTATCTCACAGGATTTTTTTGAAGATTAAAGAGGGGCCCGGTATGCACGCCAAGTTCTTTGGAGGAAGGGTGGAATAAAATGCAATTAATTAATTAAATGGCTTGCAGTTACCTAGAGTCTGTTACCTTCCCCAGATATATCCATCCTCCCTGTGTCTACCAATATCATGAACATTTAAGGTCTTTTAATGTCCGAGAATATCTCGCCAATTTTAGGAACGGGGGGCTTAAACAGATTTAATCGCCTCGCTCTACGCTACGCTGCCCACGCAGAGGCCAAAGCTGTATTCGTGTAAGGTATCGTCCAGGCTACTCCTGCCCTTGTGCTGTCTGAAAGAGACGCAAGAATACACCGCCAACTATACTAGGAAGGGCTGAAGCCGGACTCACCACCTGTCAGTGGTCGGGCTGCAAGCAAAAGGTCGAGAAGAAGATACGGAAAAGGCGGGCCCCCCAGCTCGCAGTTTTGCGGAGAGCGATCTCTGCACTCCCCGGAGCATTGCTTCCCCCTCGAAGGCGTTAGTGGTGGCTGGCGGCGGGCAAAAAGATCTCCCGAGCTCCCCTCCAACCCAGGCAGTTGAGCTGAGTAAACTTCAAGCTCCCCTAGTTGGCAGCGCAAGCCCTACGGAGTCCGTGGCGGAGGGAGCCGGGCCCGCCCGACGTAGGCGAAGGCGCATCAGCCCCTTTGGCGGCCCTCCCGTGAGGGAGGAGACATTTCCGAATGTCTCGCCCGCGTCGCTCCTGGGCTCCGTCCAAGTGGTTGCCTGGGAAACCAAGGGGGAGGGGGCGAGGAGAAGCGGGGCTAGAGTGACCTGGGGGCCGAGGAGGGGCGGCGGGTTGATTGGAAAGCAGGGGCAGCGGGTGCGTTGGGGGCGTTGGATATTTCCGCTGACAACAGCCACGCGCGCGCTTG